CATGAGAAGATTCCTTTTCATCTTCCAGCTCAATTAAAAGTCCAGAGAAACAGAGCCAATTTATTGGAACCTCAGAGTAATCCAGCTCATTATTCCCTTTCCGAAGGAACCGAGATCCGGAACAGCAAAAACCAGGAGAAATCCACCAAAAATGAGGAAAAAAGCCCCAAAGCAGCACCTTGAGGATCCCCTGCTCCTGCTCCAGTGGGATCACAGCCCTAAGATGGTGTTTGGGGGTATTTTTCCCACATTTTCCCTATTTTCCTGAAGGAAAATCTAATTTCCTGCAGGACGTGCACCAGCCACGACTTGTTTTCCTGCTGGAAAACTGGGGATTCAGGACCAAAAATGGGAGAGGAATTACCTGGGGACATTTGTCCTACAGAGAATTCCTGCCAGCTCCAGCTTCCCCTTTTCCTGGGCCTCCAGTCATTCCAGGGCCGTGTGACACCAGTGGAGCAGCCCCAGCCAGGATTTCTGGGATACTTTTAAAAACCATTCCAAAGGGAGGCAGTGGGAGGTGTCCCTGCCCATCCAACTGGATCATCTTTAAGGTCCTTCCAACCCGAAGCATTCCAGGATTCCATGACCCCCTGCTCCCTCTCCAGGGGGATCACAGCCCAAAAATGGCATTTTGGGGTTTCTTTCCCAATATTTTCCCTGTTTTCCTGAAGGAAACCCTCTTGTTTCCAGTGGAAATCTCCCTGCCCATGGAACTGGATCATCTTCGAGGTCCTTCCAGCCCAAAGCATTCCAGGATTCCATGATTAACCCATGGAAAGTTAAAGGAGGCATCACCCGAAGGGCCACGTGCCAGGAACAGGGAAAAACTGGAGAAATCCACCAAAAATGAGGGAAAAGCCCCCAAAGCAGCACTTTGAGGATCCCCTGCTCCTGCTCCCATGGGATCACAGCCCTAAGATGGTACTTGGGGGTATTTTTCCCACATTTTTCCCTGTTTTCCTGAAGCTGCCACCCAAAAATGCTTTAAATTATTCCCTACGAAATCAAGTCTCCCTTCCCTGGGAGAGCACAGAGCCACTCCAGGAGCTGGGAAGCCAAAATAATCATGGAAGTTTGTGGAAAAGGTCCAAAAAACACCTGGATCAGCAAAATTCCTCTGACCTTGACTTTATTTATCGATTCCCAACCGTATTCCAAGGGTCACTGGGGGGGAAAATAAAGCCTTTTAACCCACAAAGGGCAGGATTCCAGCCCCACTTCCCAGCTTTTCCAAAGAAAACCCCAGCAGGACGTGGATCCATGAAATATTGCTCAGCCTCTTCCCAACTGGCCGAGTTGGGAAGCACAAAATGGCCTTAAAATCCCTTTTTTTTAATCCCTGGAGAGTTTTATCCAGGAGAACTCAGAACCACTGGCAGCTCCTGTGGCTGCTGGAAAAGCCAAAGGGCTCCAATTCCCGATGGGAAAATAATAAAATCCATGGAAAAATCCCACATTTTTGGGCTGCACTTCCCTGATTCCAACAGGCAGAGCTGGAATGGCACATTCCTGGGTGGAAAATGAGCCTCTTCCCCTGCCTGGGAATGTGCAAGAGGAAGATTTTTAGCCAAAAATTGGAATGATAATCCCACTATCCTGGATCCTCCTGAGCTTTTTTGGGATGGGCAGCACTTGGAAGCCCAAATCCCTCAGGAATTGCAGCATAAACTCGTCCTCTTTGTGTCTTCCTGACTTCCTGGGACAAGAAAGGGCCAAAAATCCCACCAATTATGGGATTTCTCCCTGTTTTCCACAGGTCTGTGCCCTGGAAGGAGTGGAGTCCATCAAATCCTGGAATGTTTTCCTCCTCCCAGCCCTCACTCAGCTCTTCCCAGAATTGGGATTATCTGGATTCTCCCCTTCCCTGGTAGGAAAAATTGATATTACTGGAATTTTCCCCCTCCCTGGCAGGAGGATCATGAGGTTTTCTCCTCTTGCTGCTGTTCCAGAGGGAGTGAATTCCAAAAAAACCCACATACAGGCCACAATCTTGGAATTAAATCCCGTTCAGGACTCACTGATCCCACACAAAATTCCCAGAGCTCCCAAACAAATCAATCCACCTGTCCCAGCAGCCACAACCTCACCTGGATCCTTCCCACAAACAGGGGGAATCACTCTGCACATTCCAGAGGCACCTGGAAAACTCCTGTTCTCCCAGATGGAAGTTCCAAGGCTTGGTCGGACAGCCCTGGAGCTCCCAGTGGGGAATTAAGGACCAGGACAACATTCCAAGGAACATCCTGGGCCTGGGAGAGCCTCCAGGTGGGATCTGCGATCCCTGAGGCCTCAGTGAGACACAAATCCATGGAAAACACCGGGATGGAGCACAGGCACCCCAGAGCTGAGCAGGGGTAGCCCCTCCAAACTCTTCCATAGGGATACCCAGGGATTGGAGCAGCCTGGGAATGGGGAAGGTGTCCCTGCCCACGGCACTGGATGGGCTTTGAGGTCCCTTCCCACT